GGGAAAGAGGCACTTGCACTGCAACATATAGCAGGGATCGAGCCTTTGATGGATTTAGATGAAGCTTAGTTTCTCTGCCCTTGGCACGGGGAGGCTCTGAAACAGGGATCAAGTTTTAAGCTGGAGCTTAATGAGTTGATAAGAAGTGTGGCAGGAGTTGTTGCCATTTCCTGTGTAGTGGTTCTGGCAACACAATTGTCATGAACTCTTGAGGCAGGCTTTTCTTCTCAGTACTAGGCTTCAGCAACCCATACAGTTCAGTTCTGTTCGTGGCCACATCTCCCTTCTCTTTTATCCAGGCTACTTCAACCTCTAGAATTTCACTGACTGTTCTGTACTTCCTAAACCCCACTGTCATAATCTCTTGCATCTACATTTTCCTGCTATTGGAAGTCCTCACTCCTGCCTTTCTCAGCATCTTAACCTTTATGTGAGAGACTTTCAGATTTCCATTTCCTGCAAACTTAACCCACATTATATATTGAAAAATATTGCTCTTCCAGAGCTCTCTACTATCCAACACATTGCTTTTTGGTTCTGAACAAATAGGAGCTGTAAAAGAATTAAGCCCTTCCTGCCCTAACTTGGTTGAGACTTTCACAGCAATATAGGATGTTTAGATGTTTTGTTCTATGTAATGGGACAGATGTTTGAACTGCCTTGTCCATTACAAGTATTTCAGCTGTTTCAGCGATTCTTATGGGACAGAGATCCTTAATTCTAGGTGCAGCACTTGTTAGTGGAAAGAAAATTATTTGTTCTAGTAATAGGAGAAACAGGCTTCATCCTTAACTTTTCTGATACTTGCAGAGTAAAAAAGATACTGTCTGAAGCATGTCGTTGCTATTCAGATGAGGTCCCTTGGTACAGGTTGGTGTTACTTGGAAGAGCTGTGACCCAGGTTTTCTGCTTTGTGAAAACACCATTATGAAATGAAAATATTATGCAAAATAAAAAAAAAGAATTTAAGCCCTAGTGAATGTGAAGCAAAGCCTGTTTCCATAAAGCAGAAAAGTTTGAAGTTTGCCTTTCTTTTAAATTAATGTTAGCAGTAGTTTTATGCATATCAGTTTTAGAAGAAAGTGACAAAATTATTTTGCAGTGGGTAATTGGATATCTGTGTTCTGTGTCTTCAGAAAACACAGAACTTTGACAAAACTCATGATTTCATATAATCTGTTTTGTATGAACTAGTATTTTTCATGGTAAAATGCTTTGTAAGGAAATTTCCAAGCAACTCTAATTACTTTGCCCCATCTACATTTCACCAGCTGGCAAAGTTTACGACTGAAATACTTCTGACAAAATGCTTATACAGAACTGGAGACAGACACAGTATGGAAAACCTGTGGGTGAGCCATGGCTAATTACCTGACTCAGTATGTACTGCACTAGTCATAGCTGACATCAGATAACAGCCTGAATACTTGTCCCCTTAAGACTTTACTGTTGGTATAAGGATGATAGATTGTGCTGTCATCCCATTAATTTATCTCTGCATACATATTTTGTAGACTTCATTTTACCTCTGCAAACAGAAGTTAATAATACTTCCATTTCCACTGATTCAGATCTAGTGTTGGAGAAAAGCATAGACTTGGTCCTGTGAGCATGTTCATAAAGGTCTGTTTATGTGCCATGGCATGTCATACATCCAGTTCCTGTGTAAAAGGTCCAGAAAAACATTAATCAGCTGAAATGTCTCCTCTGTGTTGCCATGGTATTCAGTTCATCTGCTCGACCACGTGGGTGGTGTGCTCCCACTGGTCTCTGGCTACACTTAACTCCTCTGGTGTGTAGCAAAACAGTCCAAGAACAGAAACTACTCAGAAAATATAACGAGAAGTTACTGCTGGACACAAATATCTTAAGACTAGTCATTTAAAAATATTCTGTGAGAGTTCTGAGGTTGTAGTACAATCTTTAGTAAGAGTACAGAGGATCAGCAGCTGAGCTGATCTTATGACTGACTGATGTTCATGAAAGGAGCGTAAAAACGCTGCTTGCACTTGCAGAGGACAGAGGTCTCTTCCAGTCAAATGCTCTTATTTGGAAGAAGAGAAGAGATGGAAAGTTTCTGAACAGAAATTGGAAGAGAACGTGCTAACAGCAGTGTTGTACACAGAGGATATATGTTACACTGCTGAAACGTTTCTAACATGGTAGTAGGAGACTAAGCTGTGGCTCAGTCAGACACTTAGTGGTAAATGCAAATCCCTTTAGTAAGAGGACCCTGATGTTTATCCACACACTTTCTGAAAAGTAAAAACATCTGCAGGCAGTTATTAGTTTGTTGATATGTTGTTAAGTTCATAAGCTGACTCCTCTTCAGTAATTTGTTTCAGTCCTTGTGCAACACATCCTGTTTACGTTCCAAAGTTTTACCGTGTTAAAGTACTGGTATCTTTAAAGCAGAACAGTCCTTCTAGTTAGGTTCATATAAACACAAGCCATGCCTTTGTATTTTTTATTTTACAGGGATGAGATGAACTATGAAAGTGTAAAAAGGTTAAGCAACACAGTTGGGTCCCCAGTACAGATTGTACCTGTGAAATTATTTTAGAGTAAAGGTATACTTTATTACTAGGATATGTGAGTACAAAAACAGAGCCTGTGAACTGGCTAGCTTCGTTTTTAGTGAAAACTGAAAGAAGTATAGCTCTCTCTCCATGTTCTTATAATAGTCCTTTGCGCTCCATTAGGGTAAGATTGCCTCTATGCTTTTGGAAACACCAAACTGGTGATTCATAATACTAGATCTTGAAGTTATTGTGGTTTTGCAACATTGGTATGAGGATGAGTCCAACATCCCAAGGATCTGTTCAGTGGAACTTAGGCTACAACATTCCGTTTTTCACAGTATTTTGAGAAATGTGTATCTTTGACTAACGTTTTAACATTCAGTTGCTCTTTCTTAAGTTGGGTTCAGGGATTCTCAGACAAGAACTTTGGCTTTATCAACAATCGAACTGTCTGCTACCCTTGTGGCAATTACATCCTCTTCCTGGACATTCAAACAAAGAAGACAACAGCACTGCAGTGTCAGACGGGCCGGGTAGGAGCCTTTGCAGCGAATGGGAACAGTCAAGTGCTGGCCTTTTCAGACCGGAAGCTGAATCCCATCATATATATCTACAATTTTCCAGAACTGAGTAAACTGACAGAATTAAAAGGTAGTGATGTGGTAACCCTCGCCGTCACCATTTCATTAAAACAATACTTAAATCATCTAGTTTCTGAAGGGTTTTTTTTTTTTTATAACTCTTGAATAACAGTGTGACAGGAAACTGTCTTGTGACAAGATGTGTGGAAAGCAATGGAAGGAATTTGCCACTGCTCTACTTTTAGTTAGGCTCAAGCTAGGGAGGAATATGTCAATACAAAATGGAATTGTTACAAAGGGGAAACAAACTGAATGAAATTTAATTCATTTTAGGAAAATATAATCAGAATAACCAAAAAAATCATACTGCAGTAGGCTCCCAAGCAGACTGCTGAAAGCCACATTGAGAACTCTGAGGTGTGAGAGGAATGAGGGTTCTTGCAGTTAAACTTTGGTGTCTGGGATCTAATGTGTATTTTTGCCTGCTCCTTAACATTTGTCTCCTTAGTTAAGTTGCTTGCCCTATCCATGTTTCAGTTTCCTTGCTATTTAAATAGGGATCATATCATTTGCTTATTTCATGTATATGAATGCAATTATGACTGTAAAGGATTTCAGAGTATTTAAGGAAAAAATACTTTATAAATTCAAGGTATTATTGAAAAAAAAATGAAAAAATTCCAAGCAGTGATACAGAGGGAACATTTTTATGATCAAATCAAAACAATAATCTGGAGTGAAGCAAAGGAATCAGGGGCCTGAAGAATGTCTTTGAAGAGTTAAAGTGGAACTGAGAATAATATTCTGTGACACTATCCAGTAAAGTCAGGGCAATTAAAGACACATCTTTTATTTTTACATTTCAGGTAATGCTCAGCTGGACTACACCTTACTTGCGTTTAG